GAGGAGGAGGAGGAGGAGGAGGAGGAGGCCCGAGGGGCCTCGGCAGCGGTGCGTTCGCCCCCGTCGGAGCCTACAGCAGCGAGCCGGAGGTGGCCCCCTCGCTGTAGCTCCAGGAGGCCGCCGCGCCCCGGGCGGCCTTCGGGGGGGAAGCAAGCCAGGGCCCCGACCACCGCCAGGGCTGGGCTTACCTCGGGCGTGTCCCCCTACAGGGGGAGTGACGACGAACAATAATTACCCTGTGACGTACCCAACCCATTTGTATCATGGGAAACGAAGAGTTGGCCGAAACTTGCACGGACAATCAAATTGCAGGATCCGTTGTTTGATATGCGAGCTACTTGGGACAAAGTCAGCAGCCCTCGAAAGTGGCGACAGTTTCACAGATCGCAGCCCCCAGCAGCCCTCGAAACGCAGCGACGAGCGAGGTAAGAAAGTGGCGACAGTTTCACAGATCGCAGCCCCCCAGGGATGGCGAGGTCCCATTTGAATCCGCCGTGGGTGCCCACTGTGCTGGGCCCCCCAGCAGGCCTCGAAAGTGGCGACAGTTTCACAGATCGCAGCCCCCCAGGGATGGCGAGGTCTAATTTGAATCTGCGTGTGGGTCACTGTGCTGGGCCCCCCAGCAGGCCTCGAAAGTGGCGACAGTTTCACAGATCGCAGCCCCCCAGGGATGGCGAGGTCCCATTTGAATCCGCCGTGGGTGCACACTGTGCTGGGCCCCCCAGCAGGCCTCGAAAGGGGCGACAGTTTCACAGATCGCAGCCCCCCAGGGATGGCGAGGTCCCATTTGAATCCGCCGCGGGTGCACACTGTGCTGGGCCCCCCAGCAGGCCTCGAAAGTGGCGACAGTTTCACAGATCGCAGCCCCCCAGGGATGGCGAGGTCACATTTGAATCCGCCGCGGGTGCACACTGTGCTGGGCCCCCCAGCAGGCCTCGAAAGTGGCGACAGTTTCACAGATCGCAGCCCCCCAGGGATGGCGAGGTCCCATTTGAATCCGCCGCGGGTGCCACTGTGCTTGGCCCCCCAGCTGGCCTCGAAGTGGCGACAGTTTACAGATCGCAGCCCCCAGGGTGGCGAGGCCCATTTGAATCCGCCGTGGGTGAACACTGTGCTGGGCCCCCCAGCGGCCTCGAAAGTGGCGACAGTTTCACAGATCGCAGCCCCCCAGGGATGGCGAGGTCCCATTTGAATCCGCCGTGTGTACCCACTGTGCTGGGCCCCCCCCAGCAGGCCTCGAAAGTGGCGACAGTTTCACAGATCGCAGCCCCCCAGGGATGGCGAGGTCCCATTTGAATCCGCCGCGGGTGCACACTGTGCTGGGCCCCCCAGCAGGCCTCGAAAGTGGCGACGTTTTCACAGATCGCAGCCCCCCAGGGATGGCGAGGTCCCATTTGAATCCGCCGCGGGTGCACACTGTGCTGGGCCCCCCAGCAGGCCTCGAACGTGACGACAGTTTCACAGATCGCAGCCCCCCAGCGATGGCGAGGTCCCATTTGAATCCGCCGCGGGTGCACACTGTGCTGGGCCCCCCAGCAGGCCTCGAAAGTGGCGACAGTTTCACAGATCGCAGCCCCCCAGCTGGCACACAGCGACGAGCGAGGCAAAAGGTAATTAAGGGGGAAGAGAGGGGCGGGAAGGAAGGAAGGAAGGAAGGTTCGCGCGAGCAGTGCTCTATTCAAAACGAGAACCCAACGCAGGAGGGTTGGGAACAAAAAACTCCAAACATGCTCCAAAGTGGTCAAACAAAAGAATACTCCCAAAAGAGTCCCCCGACTATCTTTTTACTATTTTTGAATACTCCCCCTGTAGAGGGACAGGCCCGACTTAACCAGAACCAGGGCTGGGCGCGGAAGCGCGGGTGCCGATCCTGGTCCTCGGCTGCTGTGGATGGGGGCATCCCAGGTCATCCTGCTGGCTCTTGCGGATCGACGCTCGCCGACGCCAAATCGACGCCGGGTCGACCCCGAGCCGGCGACTTCTCATCGACTGCCAGGCGCCAACAAACGCGAATGCATTCTACAGACTGAAATTCGAGGACATTCACAGCTCCCACAAGTTGCTACCGAACCCGTCCATTTTGGTCAACGCCAGTTCGCGGATCTTCGCGGATCATCGCGAATCGGCGACGGCAGGCATGGACCAAGACCAAGATCGGCGCCGACTCCCTCCGTCAGTTTTGGGAGTTCATTGGTACCTCGAGATCCGCTGCTGCTCTGTTTCTCTACAATTATGGACGGTCCCGAGGCCGCTCACACTGAAAACCTTCGGCTTGAATGTTTCAGAGCGGTGGAGGTCTGGGTCTGAGACGCGCGGCGTTGAGCCGCTCGGCGAAGGGGGGCGGCTGCCCTCACGAGCAAGGTCCGCGTCGACGAGGTCCCGCGACATCTCGGCCATGGCCCCCTCGTTTTTCGCAGCGCCACAGCAGGAGGAAAAGGAGGAGTACGGACGGGCGGCCCCCCTGGAGATGGTGTCTGTGTCAATGCAGTGGAGGCCCATGCCAAGTGCCACCCTGCTTGCTTGCCTCCAGGGTGCGCTGGAGTTCTTGGGTTTCGATGCTCTTGCGATGGAAAGCGTGACGCTGCCACACCGAAAATCCATGGACGTCCTGGGGTCTCAGGGTTGGGTTTCTTGTG